CAAGGCCAGGCTAGGAGTACAAGCGTTTGCAGATGCCTTGTTGATTATTCCTAAGACATTAGCTCGTAACTCTGGTTTTGATTCACAAGAGACRATGGTTAAACTGCAACAAGAGTATGCTGATAGTCAGACCCCTGTTGGTGTTGACCTGTCAACAGGAGAGGCYCTTAACCCGGCTGATGCTGGGATATGGGATAACTATCGTGTAAAACGACAATTGTTGAATTCATGGTAAGAACTACATGAACTGAGTTGACGTGCAAYGTCTCCTCATTTCCACATTTCACATAACTATTTAACCTTGTTTASAGTGGTGTATTTTCTTGTMACMWTAAGTTACAGTGGGAGATCCAGCAGGAAGATGTGCGGAGGTTGTGCATGCTCTTCTGGGACTTTGCACCCTTGTGTACTTTACCCTATTTCATATCTTCTTTGTGCCCATTTTCGTGAAGTCCAACCCTTCCTTGGAACCGTCACTTTGCTATSTGTCTTAATATGAAAGTGTTTTGTATATAATTTGGTTTGGGTTTTTTGGACTTGAAAATGTGATTYAATGSAATGTGACGGGGATTYACAACAAGAAAAACAATAACAAGTTGGAMATTTGATTATCGAACTTGAGCAATTGGGCTACTTTTWATARAGGACTCTAAGRAGTCTCATGTCAGAAGACAAATGCATAATCGGCTGTTTTATACTCCTGCGTTTGWGAGCACGAAAYATAAGGCTTTGTTTCTTCATTGTYATTAACCAACCAAAGCGCKCGTTTCATTTTGAAGTGCATGTATGAAGGTATCTTGGAATAAGGGCCTCGTTTCTTCAGCGTCATCACGCAGTCAGAGCGCTCGTTATAAATAATTTAATTTAAGTATGTAAGGTGTGTATTGCTTCGACCTCTTACAAGATTTTCCTGTAACTTGTTTCTTTTTAGTACCGTAATCGCTGGTAACCTTCTTCTGGTCGATGAAATGATGAGAGCGGGCATGTCGTCACTCAARGGATAAGCCAAAAACTGTTTTATGTAGAGTGTTCAATCGATGTGTTTCAATATTGTGTGATCTTACGAACTGTGTTATWAGCAAATGTAACTAACAGGCAAATAAATGAAGAAACTGCAATAAAAATGAAGTTATTTGAGGTGATATGAATAAGTCGCGCGCGCGAAAAAAAGGAAAACAACAGGCAGCCCAACTGTAACTTGCTTAAGAAACAATTTGCAGCCTTGTGGAGTTTGCCTACTCTGTATTCCTGACAGGTTTTCGTCATTCTCCTATCMATTKTWGTGTGCATTGCTTATTGAAACATTATTATGGTCATCAGTATTACYATTAATCCCTGTAATCTCTATAAGAGGAATAAGAGTGGATTTCGTGTGACTGTAGAAAGGCACGGCACGGCCGCGGAATCTCGCTAGTATCGATGCCAAATGAAAATAGTGATTCGAGAACGCGGTTCTGAACGCCAATTTTTCTTCACAGTCATACGAGAATCCCGCTCTAGTGCATCGCGGATTCRACCACCCAACATATTTTTATGTATAGTATGYAARACTTCACAATTTTCGAGTTCTTTCTCGATTTCTTCAGTTTTATTTTTATCGTAAGAGTTATGACTGACCGTGCCAACTGAGTTGATTAAATGTACAACATTGTTTACTAATAATACTGAAAACACAATGTTTTCTTAGTGAACCAAAATAATAGAATTTTGTAGATTTTGATTGAAGTGTTATCCCGATGAAGCTGGCAGTCCTGAAAGGAAAATAGAAAATAAAAAAAAATAATAAAATGCGTGAATGTTCCCAGAAACTCATAATGGGAATGAAACGTCCAACAGCCGTACATTTCTTAAGGTACGGAATTTATCTGTTGGATATTTTTTCCTTAATGGAATTATTTGGGCTCCAAATTTCTTCAAACTATGTACTTCACACATTATATGCATAAAGTGTGAAATTTTCCAGGTGCATCCGACAAAATTAGAACTGGTACTTTTGATTTGTAATTCAGGGGATGGGGAGGGGGGAGGGGGTACTCCCTTATAAAAGTTGGTAGGTATGCTCGACGGGCCTTTTAGGGTCAAAAATAAAACCCTCGCGTACCTTTTAGGGTCTTGAGCTGACTCCGTACCTTTAAGGGTCATTTTTCAATCCGTCCGTCGAGCATACCTACCAACTTTTATAAGGGAGTCCCCCCGGGTATATAATGGCAATGTTTATTTTTCATTGAGCCTTGACAATGTACCAAATACTATGGTATCAAAAATATGTTAAATTACATGTGGTTCTGAATATTCTGAAGCACAGCTCTTAGACGTTTCAAATCCCATGTGTTCCTACTCTCACTTAGAGTGGTCTTAGAGTTAATGAACACACTTGTACCGTGAAGCATAATCAGAGAACTAGTAACTATTGGTTTTTATTTCTGACTAATTGGTATAGGTAATAAGATGGTTTCGAGTTCAATTTGGAATTGATTTGCACGAGTTATTTTGATCATATTTCACGGTACAAGTGCTTTGGCTCTACCACAAAAAGACTGTTAGTGACCATAATTGTGCTGTAACTGCAATACGACAAAAGTATATTCACTCCCTCCCCCCCCCCAAAAAAAAAATATCCAGGGGTGTTATGCCGATAAAACGTAAAATATTCTACCTTTCAAGATGGCGCAGGGAACTTTCAAGAAGAATATTCCCTTTAGTGTTACCGAACCTCCATTGGGGTTAGGGGATTGGAAAGCAAATGTTTCACTTACTAGCACAGATGACATGTTAKTTTACAGTATTTTACAGCAAAACTATGTTTCCTTCTAAAACGTCTGCTTCTAGCTAATGCTGGGCTGCAAAATCGGGCCARCTTCCTGCAAACTGGAAATTTGTTTCCGCATCCTAGGACAAGGAATATGTGACATTAATGTCAATATTGTTATAATTCCTTGCACGCCGTTTTTATCATTATTACATTTTTATCGATCAATCATTACCTCGTTTCTGCATGCCATCGATGTAATCATAAAACGATAGCGCATGGTTGTAGTCATTCTCTGAAAAATACAAGAGATGCTCCATGGGAACGTGGCTTCGATTTTTCACGTATAGAAATGAGGTCACTTCAGCTTTCCGTTCACAGTCAATTTCGTATAAAATCTCAGAGCATAAAGGGATGATAAAATGATCGAGTCTCKTAACGTGACAAATTCATACAAGATATCCATAAGCCTCGTATCAAAAATGGAAATCTGATCAATACATACCTCTTTTATCGTCAAAGATTGCTGTTGATAAAGAAACGGTGTAATATCAGTTTTACGACTGAACACAATTTTTCGTTATATTCATACGTGTGATGTAGAGAAAGAACTTGATGAAAGACTGTCGGAAATTTTATAAAAGTAATGCAGGAGGGGAAATGAATAACAACCAAATATATAAACGGTAATCAGCGAATGGATGGAAAAGAGAAAGAAAAAGTGATAGTGAAAGTGATAAAATAGATATTATATTATAATATTAATATTATTATCACATGAGAAAGTAGCTAATCGCATCAAAGAGTGCTCAATACACATATAGTGAAGAGCTAATTATATATCTGATGAGGGCGTAAGCACGAAACTCGGAGTAAAAGCAAATCTTTCCACTTCATTATTTATATTAATATTATTATTATTATTATAATATCTGATCATTAAGAGGTGAAACTAGAGCAACTTTGTTGGATATTGAAAATCTTATGAATTACTCACATATGTCTCCGCTGTCAAGATCTCTCAGGATGTCGATGGCTGYAGATCTTTTGAGTGAATCATAAGTACCTGCAATAACGAAGGCACTGCTATTTAACAATTAGACCTCGCGGTCGAGTGGACTACGAGCTAATAGCCCATGAGGCCGAGTCCGCGAGGCCGAATGGGCTGTTAGCTCGTAGTCCACGAGGCCGAGAGGTCTAATTGTTTTAGTATAAACATACTAATCGGTCAAATAATGAAAACAAATTGAAATATCCTTATAATAATTCATAATTTATAACTTATTTATTTTGATTTTCCCGCGAGTGGTCTATCACAAATTAGACCATTAGTAGAGTAGCCAATCACAGCGCAGTATGAGTGATAGACCATTAGTATTATAATAGCTTCATACTAGTATAAAGAAGACACTATTATTACATAACTTGTAGTTTCATTGTGTAAAGACAGACGAGATATGGACTGATACGATATACTGTCCCATGCCATCCAACATTTTTTTTGAATTTTGGCCGAGGACTGAGGAACCATTTCTGGCATTTGGGCTTCGCTTCGGGACAATAAAAAAGGCTGGATATGGCGCCAATCTTTTTTGTGCTTTAATTTATGATAAGAGATGCATTGCGAGCAGATATGGCGCCAATCTTTTTTGTGCTTTTTAAATTTATGATAAGAGATGCATTGCGAGCAGATCCCTGAATCATAGTCAAAATTATAAAGAGATCAAAGGTATTCTTTACTGGCGATTGGTCAGTTCTTAATTAGTATTTCGAGCGCATTCCAAGAATTAAACGTAGATGAAACGGATCAAAAAGACCAACGATCAGGAAAATACTTTTTCGTCGCATTCTTCAAACTGAATTTACCAATCTTTTTCATTGTAACTTAAACTATTGTAATTTGCTGATGAACTCGCAATTGATCGAAACTTTGATTAAAACATATAGGTAATATATTAACTATGATTAAAATGAAAAGCAATTCTACAACAAAGTTTTCTATTTTGAACAATTACTTTTGTATGGTTCATATAAAAGAACGCTACAACTGCTAAAAATACACTTTGAGCATGTTCGAAAACCGGCATGCCTTCTCCGCACGAAGCGACGACGTGCTGCTGACCTTGAAAGGCTTTTCTTTAGCACTTTCTGGGAGTTATCTTCAATTGTGGTTTAACGTTTTTGTTTMGGTGTTTTCTTTTGCGTGTGGCGGTGTTTTTTTTCCTTTTCAGATTTAGATTTTTATATTTTACTGAACTGATGAGCTTGTGGAACCATTGTGCTTRGGCGTCAACGAAAACGAGCTCGAGGATTTTACCGGCGAGAACGAACTCGGAGATATCGATTAACGAATCAGTTTTTTTTTTCTATGCGCTTTATAAATTGCTCCAAATAACCTTAATTGCCATAAAGTTCCTAAGAAAGATAAGTTTAGAAGCCCAAAAAGGGTACAAGAGCGTCAATRGTTTCAGCGTCTTCGTTGTTTTGCGACTTCAAACTGAGTGCTATCTTGATTTTTCTATCGGTTTACATGGCATACTCGTGATTTGAAGAYCGGAGAGAAAAGTCATGGGCATAAACTTATAGAACACCTGTCAACTTTACCTCATCAATAAGAAATAGTTACAGGGACAAAATASCTCTGATTAGTAACTTTAAAAGCTTTCATTTCAGGAGATTATTCTATCGAAACTTGCATTGTATTTGGCCTAGATTCAGAGTATTATTTTTTTTACTTTAAAGGATGATAATTAAAGCCGCTTTTAACAATTTAATTTAGCAAAAAWCTGGTATATAAACTACTTTATCGTATCAGAGATTACATTGAGAGAATGGGTGTGTTTTGTACTATCTATTGGAAAAGTTGGATATAAAGATATTGAAATTAACTAAAATAACAYACAAAACGCGCTGGAAAATTGGTTGAAATTCAGGGAAGTTAGTCAAAAGAAGGCTGAAACTAGGACATAAAACTAATTCAAAAATATAATTTGAGTGGAAAAGAAGTTATAGTGAAACAGAGTCATTAAGAAACGTAGAACTGATCATGAGCATAAAAGATGTAATTTTGAAACGATAACGATAAATGAAAACAGGAACTAAAAAAAGTCAAAAAAGATTCACTTCAATTAACTTTTGAATCAACTTGAAAACTCAGTTGAATAATCTTATATTTTAGCTTTTTGATTAACAAYAAAAACGTGTTTCATACCTGCATCATGTTTCTTGTCCAGCAGCACGCTAGCGGAGACGTAGCTCACAGCAAAAAGGAAAATGACAACTTCTTTCATCATTTTTCCAACTAACAATAACCGAGTTTAGGGCAAAATTCAGTATGATTCGAGATGTGAACGTTCAACGCCCACTTTGAGAGCCAGTCCAACTAGGGGAAGACTGACTGGATACGACCAGTTATATATTTTCAAAACGGCATAATCAAGTGATTGACGCTTTGGTTACCATGGTAATCACGTGGTCAACTTCCACCTTAAAAATTTATAACCATCTCATGGGGGGTTATTAACGTTAGTTGGCTAAGCAATAACATTGAAAAAAATATATATAGACTTMATTTATTTAATTGAAAGTTGAGTATCTTCTTAGTTTCTCATGTTTAGWGAATCATTTGATTTTGAACTTTCAAACTTGTAGTGAATCAAAACGCATCGGGTTTTTAATGACCTCAGTTGACTCCCTTATCATGGTCSCCCTAGATATCGCCTTTGTTGAATTACGTACAAAAGCGAATTTATAATCAATTATTAAAACGAACAACTCCATGTTTTTAAGGCTTTTGAGGAAAATATCCTCACTAATGAATGACTGAAAGCTTTCTCCGCCAAACAAAAACAAAATAGAATGGCGTGTCTCTATCTTAAACGTTATATTGACGAAGCTTTGCGGGCGCTACGTCGTTATGCAAAGAATTCTCTGTTAATGAATTTGTGAGGTTGTTTGCCAGCCTGCATTATTTAATGAAACCACACGATCAGAGATTTTATAATACAAAATGAAAAATCAACTTTTCTGGAAGTTCTTTTTGCATGACAACAGGTCCCAACGTCAATTATGRACTTTAACGTTTTCCTTTTCTGAAAACTTCTATTTTAATCATTACTTTTACCTTTTCAATGATTTTTTAAAGTACTTTATAACGTAATTGGTTGTGTAACCTTACACGACCTTGCTGACTAATTTAGCTCCAACAGAGACCTTCAATAATCTGAATCTCACGATTGGTCCTCGAAGGCAGTCAGGAGTGAACACTTGGACACTTGCTAGACAATAGTCTACACCTCTGGGTGAAAGTATTACCTAAATGTTGGATAAGATTGTTTATAGGCAGTAAACTATCCTAACTTTATCAATTCTTCACTCACTAAGATAGAAAACATAACGAMAACGAGAATGATAATACAGACTAAATATTTATTTGCGGGTCAAGCAACACAACGGATACAGCACAATGTTTTTTTATCATGGGGCTACGGCAGAGCGATATTCAAAGTTCCTATTGTTTTTTTCAAAGGGGATTTATTAAGAACTGCACAGCTTCAGGCAAACCTCGGACWACAACAGTAACAATAACAGAATAGCAGGTTCATAATAATTCAGTATACAAAATGTTGTTACTAAAAAGTATGTCATCTCACGAAGATCTCCAATATTTTTGTTTTCTCTTTAGATTTTGATAGAAAAAAACACAAAGAAATATAATCATATCTGAATGTAACATTGACAGTTTTTTTCAAGGTTGAAAATTAGGGAATTCGTAAATGGCTGGTAGTCACACCCTCTCCAACTCCTCCGCCCTCAACCTGCGATGGGGATTCTATTTTGCTGTCTTCGTGTGAATCGTTCAACCCACAAGTTATCTCCCACAAATTTCTGTCATGTTTTACTGAAAACAAGAACAAACTGCAAAACGTGACACTTAAAAGCTAAAAAACCTGACCAGTTAGTTATCGATGTAGTTGCACTGGCAT